GGTTTGTGACGGCTAATAATATTGGTGCTTGCTGGGTTTGTTGGCTGTACACGTGGGCCTCCTTAGCTGAAAAGCAAATAATATTGGTTTGTTGGCTGTACACGTGGGCCTCCTTAGCTGAAAAGCAAAAGGTAAACAATCTTTTAGCTAATTGAGCTAGCGCAGTGTAAAGGTCTGGGTTCTTGACCTTGACAAAAATTTTGAATTCGTGAATATATGCCGAATTAGAAAGTGGGTTGGTTTGATAGAGGCAGTCGGTGGATTTGGTTTCAGTCGGTGGATGGACAGTCACGCATGGGGTTGGTGGACAGGCAGTGGGTTGCTGGTTTCGCTGGTTTTGGTTCAGCGGTATGGAGTCGGTGGCTGTCACGGTGTTGCTGGTTTCGTTGGTTTTGGTTCAGCGGTATGGAGTTGGTGGCTGTCACGGGTTGCTGGTTTCGCTGGTATGAAGCAGATTTTGATTTCAGTCGGTGGAGACAGGCTGGTCAGTTGGTTTGTGGTTGCTGGTTTTGCTGTGTAGGCAGTCGGTGCTTTATGGAGGCAGTCGGTGCAGTGGGTGAGACAAGTGGGTTTGCGGCTAGGGGCTGGAAGGCAGTGGGTTGCTGGGTTTGCTTGAAGGCAGTTTGTCGGTGAGGCAATCTCGGTGGAGGCTAGGTTAGGGAGAAGGTTAGGGTTTGAGGTAGGGTTAGTGTATGACTCTGATACCAACTTGGAATAAACGTAAGTGAAAAGGGATACTCAAATTAAGAGTAGAGCCCCGTATATATATCCAAAAATAATACAGAGTGACTTAAACATCCTTGTAATTTAGGCAAATATAAAAATCTTAGTAAGGGTAAAAAAGAGAAAAGAAATCCTAATAAACCTAGACTATCTATACTCCAACATATATAAAGTAAGAGACTTTTTGTTCTTTAGTCAAATGTAGAATAGAAGTAAAAAGGGAAAGATTCTAATGGGTACAATACAAGGGACTTTTGGCTTATGAAATAGACATTGTTAACTCAAGATTTACTATAGTCGGTGAATTAAATTGAATGCTAAAACCAAGTGCGAGAAAGATTATTTGTATAAAAAACTGGTATCATCCCAAAAATCCATAAAATGAACCACGGAAACTAAAGATGCTGATAGGACATTTTCAAAAAGGCCTTAGAGTGGTGACACGTGTTGTCGGCCCACGAGGAGTTTTCTCGCCTGTTAGACCCACGTGTCCTCGGCCCAAAGGCCTCCGTTTAAAACTTATTACCAACACGTATCCCTTGGCTGCAGGACAAAAGTCCCCTCGGTCCCGAGGATACTTTCTACAATCTCGCCCACCCATTTTAATGCTTGTTCTTCGGCTCATAACTCCTCGACTCTTGTGGAGACTAGGGACTAACGAATGGATAGCCTAAACCAGACTAAGGACTGCAAGGATACCCTACATAAAGTATTCAGGGTGATAGATTGAGTTGGACATTTAACCAAAGAAAGTCAGACGTGTGGCGACAAGTACGGTATAAGGAGTAAAAAGACAGGCTTGTCCATGCTGATATGCGGCCAATAAAGACGCACATTTAATGTGCCATCAGTTGACGAGACATTTACTGTGGCTTGATAAGTCAAAAAGTTACAGCATTGAATGCTTAGGAATTCGGGCTTTTAATGCTGCCACGAACAAAAAGGACCATTAAATACTCGGCAAGTCGAGCACTCAATACTGGGACATTCCCCATCAAAAGTAAAGGGCACACTGTTCCACCTCTGAAGACTATCAGTAGTCTAGATTGTCAGTAATGATGAGGCTTAGAAGGTATAAATAGTCCGCAAAAACACATTGCAAAGGTACGTAATATTGTCTCACAAGAGCCATACAGTATTTTCTTCATCCCCTCTTCTCTAAAAGAATTGACTTGACTTTTGGAGGGAATACGCCGGAGAACACTCTGACACCCTTCTAACCTATTCTCTGTGTTCCAGGAATTTCTCGTGGATCTCCGGAATCAGTTTGACATTACCAGCAGTAATTCATCACCACTCCTTAGGACCCTTTTGTCCCTCTCAACCTATTCCTTGTTGTCGGATCCACCATTCCGATGGGTCGAATCTCACCTGGAGTCGATCGGATACCCCCAGAAGCAAATCATTACAACAACTTAAGCCTCCTTTGTTCCTCTCAACCTATTCTCATTCCATCAGAACCGTCTTCTCGACAAACCAGAGTTCATCGTAGGAGAGATCTGTTTTCATTTCAACTATTTTGCAAAAATTAATGCATAAAAAATGTGACTAATCATGATGTTGTGACTATCTATAAGTAAAATTTGTCACTATTCATACATAAAGGTTGTGACCATCCATGAAAGATTGTAACCACTCAATCATGAAGAATTGTGACCATTGATTTCCAAAAATAATGACTCTTTGGTAAAGCGTCGTGGTCTATAGCTTAATTTTCATGTTGTTGTCAAAACTTTTGAAGCAATAAAAACTAACATCATATATAGACTACACATAATTATTGAAATGTATAGCACACGTCCGAAATAACATGATACTAACGTTATAAATAATATTTTCCAATATTGTCACTTGTAATAGGTCTAACACAAGTTTAGTTCAACTAACCATAACCAACTGATATAGTAGAACAACATCATTATTATGATTTCTAGGAAAATATGAATTGAAAAGAATTGCATGCTAAATTGAACCCGTTCAGGCTAGTGTTGGAGTTCAAGAATAAGTGTGCTAGAAAATAGAAATAGATAAATGGAGTCTACGGATGCCAAATAGGAGAAAACCTCCATAAAAGTTGTAAAATAGTTCAAGTACCATTACAAAATAAAATGTCATCAACCAATGTCAATTGGGACAGTTTAAGATTCTTACATCTCCAATGATACTTTAACCCCATAGTAGCATTAGTGTACTATAGGGTAAATAATGCTGGAACCCAATAATAACCAACATGCAAGGGACATATGGTTGCCTTTTCGTTTCAGAAGACTTGTTGGTCGCAAATAATATCATTATGTATCGTTAATAGCCTGAAATTGAAAGCATAGATTTATCTCTTTGGTTCAGGTTTCATCAAGTTACTCAGATTGACATATGGGAAGTGATTACTCTCCTAGTGACTTGGCTTGGTCTTGCTCCCTTCTCCCACTACCCCTCTCCATTGAAAAAGGGAATTGAGAATCTTCTCAGGATGACCAAACCTCCCTTAAACTGGTAAACTCCCTGCTAATGTTAAAAGAGAACCCTGGTAAAGTTAGGCAAGATTTAATCTAATTCTTCCTAGTTTTTGAGAAGTTAAATACCTCCAATTTTCCAAATAGGATGTTCCACTCTATCGTATCAAATTTCTTGACGATGTCAACTTTCATTGCACAACCATCCTATTAACCCCTGTGAGAAACGAAGAAGAGGAATGGAGAAGATGATCTTTGAATAGATATAATGTGATTATTCTTTTTACTGAATCAATATTAATTACAGCCTATTTATAGAGACTCTGCTACTCAGTCAGTTAGTTAGAGTGATTAGTTAATTAATTATAATAGAATCAACTAATTACAACTTAATCAAAACTAACTCTAACTAATCTAGCTGACTCAACATCAGAGGATAACTTCACACTTTTGCAATTTGCTGTGTTTTGGAGACTTGATATAAAAGTGCTTGTCTCCCTGAAATGTGTGTAACGTATTTCCCATGCGTATGAAAAATGTGTAGTGTAGTAATTAAAAAAAATCCGAGGTCCTCTCCTTACGGAACAGTAATGAAATCAAATAGACAACTAATCGACTAATCTTGAAAATTATCTTACTGTAATTAAACTTATTAAATGCATAGTTTGTAGCCAGCATCAAACTAGTTCAAGTAGTTGACGACTAAAATCAAAAAACTCAATAATAAACAAGGTGAATTAAGATTAAGAACATAGTTTAAGACAGAAAGTGTAATTTGACCAAGACAAGAACAAGGCAAAGAGAGAGAAAATCCACAACCTAGCCTCTAAGTGGAATTCAGTTGACACAACCCCACTAAAGCCTTCAAAGAAAAATCTAGAGCGCAATAACCGGGGACTGAATCATCCGAAGAAACCGCGTTTTCCGTGTGGAAGTTCAACAACACAGAACTTGTCTGAATAGCACTAAGTCTGCATACAGGTAAAACAAATATTCAATTAATAAACTAATGGATAGAGCATGTATAAACCCATAAAGAGCAATGACCAATTCCAACCACCCAAAAACTTCCTTAGCTGTAGTTGTTCCTCTGTTTTCATCAAGATCTCCACTTTTTCTTCATTGAACTCACTTGGAATACTCGATCCTTGCACTGACGTGGAATTGTTGAAAAATTACCAACTGGGTCTTTGTGTTCCTTTGTGTTTGTTCCGTGTATTTGTTAGCTGACTTGATCTCATGGTTAATATATATTATACCCTTGACTTGTTTCGGGTTTTTCTTTTTTCTGTATCATCAAGTACGATTTTTCCTGTTGTTTTGTTTTTTGATAACATTTACTAGTTACTTGAAATTATTATTTTTTTGGGGGAGCTCTGCCATCAATTACTATTGCATATGAGCTCAATCTAAGACTCTAAGCTTTGATTTCACTTTTTGTGATAACCCTCTTGAATTTGTTGTTTTTCTTGGATTTTTGAATTAAATTATAATTCTTTTTGTGAGCTTAATTTATGGTGTGTTTCATTTTGTATGGTACTGGGTTTTTGATCTAAAGATTAGAGCTTTCTTTTTTCCTTGGAGCATTATTTTGAAAGTTCAAGAAAGAATTTCGAGGTTGGACGTTTGTGTTTAGAGTTTTTGTTCTGAAGATCGGTTTGTAGAGGGTTTGACTAGGTATTGTACTGGGTTTTTGATCTAAAGATTAGATCTTTTCTGCTCCTCCTTGCATAATTTTGAAAATTTAAGAACAAATTGAGGTTAGACTTGTTTGTTATATTGGTATATAGAGTAGGATTTTGAAGTTCAAAGTAGAGAAAACAGTTAGAAGGACTTGAGTTTGAGGCTAGGATGGGAAACACTTGTGTTGGACCAAGCATTTCAAAGAGTGGTTTCTTTCAATCGGTGTCAGCCGCAATGTGGCGGTCTCGGTCACCTGAAGACACTATTTCTAACGCTAATGCAGAGAGTGTCCATGAGACACCATCTTCTGTTAGAGAACCCGAGTCACCTATGCCAGTCCAAAGCAAACCCCCAGAACAAATGACAATTCCGAAGCCAGAACCAAAGGTGAATACAAAACAAGAACAGCCAACAAAACCAAAGAAGCCTTCACATATGAAGAGGGTGTCTAGTGCAGGGCTTAGGACTGGTTCAGTGTTGCAAACAAAAACTGGTAATTTGAAGGAGTTTTTCACTTTTGGTAAGAAATTAGGACAAGGGCAATTTGGAACAACATTTCTTTGTGTGGAGAAAGCTACGGGTAAGGAGTATGCGTGTAAATCAATTGCAAAGAGGAAGTTGTTGACCGATGAGGATGTAGAGGACGTAAGAAGGGAAATTCAAATAATGCACCACTTGGCAGGGCATCCTAATGTTATATCAATCAAAGGGGCTTATGAGGATGCTGTGGCAGTTCATGTTGTGATGGAACTGTGTGCTGGGGGTGAGCTTTTTGATAGGATTATTCAGCGTGGGCATTATACAGAAAGAAAGGCGGCTGAGCTTACGAGGACTATTGTTGGGGTTGTGGAAGCTTGTCATTCTTTGAGTGTCATGCATCGTGATCTTAAGCCTGAGAATTTTCTTCTTGTTGATCAGAAGGAGGACTCACTTCTCAAAACAATCGACTTTGGATTGTCAATATTCTTCAAGCCAGGTAAATTTGAAAGGTTTTTTGCTGATTCTTGGTATTGAAATTGCTTGTGACATGTTTGGTTATGATTTTGTGCCTTAATAAGATGTAGACTAGTGGTCATTGAAATTCTGCTACAGAACCAGCATGGCAAAGTGCATATATGCTTTGAGTTAGGCATACACTGACTACCTGTTTTTTTTTTATTTTCTAAATGTAGTATAGCTCATTTAACATTCCGGAACGTATTAGCTCATTTAACATTACTTGAACTAAAATTAGTGGTTTTTCTAGTAAACCAGTTTCAGTATATGTCCTTCTTTTTGAATGCTGTTTAAAGGAAGTACAGTTTTGGTTTGAAATATATCTTATTCTACTTTCCAAGATCAGAAATATTATGAAGTTTCCATCTTCTCTTCTGTAAAAGCTGTTAAATTATAATTTATCGACAATAATGAGTTCATCGACTTCTGAAATGATAATTACTAATGCCATGTCCTACATCAACTGTGTAAAATGATTCTAGAGCCTGGACATAGATACCAATCATGTTACTGGTTTCATATTGTACCCTACAAAATGCAGACATTCGCTTTACATTTCCACATCATACAACTAGCTTCATTGATCAGTCACGGATTTTGAATTCCTGGCTCGTGTTGAAACATTAATTGCCTTTTATTTTGTTACATTCCTTGTGTTTTAGAAAGCAAAAGTCATCGCATGGTAAAAAGAACATCTTCACCCTGTACATTTCTAGATCTGTAAAAAATGAGTTGGCATTTTCTTAGGTGCATCTGTCAAATTCCAAATTTTAAGGAAATTGACCTTTGGGCCCTGAAACGTGTTATAGTTCAGCCTGATGGGCTCCAAACTGAAACACATCAATATGGAATATCCCTTCTTGAATAATGTTACACAGAATGCTAACTCTACAGGTTTTAGTAGCCATTGTTGGTTTTTCTGGTTTTATATGTGGACCGCAGGTAATGGGAAGATTCGGGAGTCCAACGACACAAACCTAATATGCATGTTTCAAACAAGCGCGTACCCACTTAAGAACTTAAGCTTGGTAGTGAGACTATTCTTAATATATTAAAGTCCTTTAATTTCTTTCTCTTTTGATGTGGTATTTCCAGACACCTAGGGCTTAAACATCCAATTGAATCTTAACCACTGACCCAATAAAAGCAAGGGCCCTAGGCGAAAATCTAAATGAGGCCCAATCAATAGTTGACATGTTTATGTAATATTCAATAATAATCAAAATATTGAATATATTCATTAGAAAACTATTTTTCTTATTTTTTGAGAGGCAAAAATACTAATTCACTTTTTGTATTCTAGATTGATAACAATCTAAATTTCCAAAAAAAATTAATAAACTAAATTTCTAACAAGATATTAAAGTCTACCAGATTAATGTTAGACCAAAACAGTTTTCAGGTGTAAAAATTGAGTTTTTGGTCGATTTTGAGCCTAAATTAAAGTGAGATTCGTTCGTTGTTTTGAGTAAACTTTTGTGAGGTCATATTCTACTCCGTGAGGAGAATAACGTAGTATATTCACTTGCTTAAATCGAATAAGAAATGAATAAGAAAATAAGCTCTAAAGTTACCCTTTTGAAAAATGGAAATAAAGGTTGTGTAATATGGGATTTGACACCAATCCCACATTGGTTGAGGAAGAAGTTCTACATGGGTATATATAGGCCAAGTTTGCTCTATGGGATTAGGTCCCAAGGGGTACCACAGTTTTATGAGCGGGGCTCGGGTATAGGTGTGGGTGTGTTTTAGACCAAGCTTTATCTTTTTGGAAAAAATTTGTTTAATTAATTGGGCGAGAATTTCTTAATTTGAAATTAATTTTCGGTATCTGTTAGATCGCACTGGTTCGGATTTGTTGCTTCCCTCTGGTCTGAAATTGAGTTATGTTTATTCGTACATAACAGTTACACGAGTGGTGTCTTATGTCTACTGGGTTGCATCCATTCAGATTGTGACTGTTCGATTCAGTCACCATTCTCTCCGTAAGTGACCCATTCACATAATCATTTTGCATCAAATACATTCATTCATCAGTCTAGTTTTAGAGGTAAGACACACATTAGTGCATTGTATTTCAACATTAGGGCAGTCTACATTTGGAGAGTACACAACACAATTTCTGGTTCGTCGGACGAGTAGATTGGAATGCTACATCTACTTGTGTAAAGATCATTGTATCCTGTGAGGCAGATGCTTGATATTCCATAAGCACCTTGTGTGGGGCGAAATCTGTCTTAAGGTATAGTGTTAAACACTAGCCTTGATCTACATAAAATTCATTAACAGTTCCTGTTCTGCAACCGGGTTAGTATTTATATTGTTTTGAGAAATAGTTACGTGTAACTGTTTCATTAAAATTACTGTAACTGTTTCAATTTTTTGTGTAACTGTATTGTATTTGATTGTTACTGTTTTGTTATACATTACAAGTTTCAAATCAAAAATTTCAATAAGTGATTTTACTATATTTGAAATACCACAAATTAAATGGGTAACGAACGACAAGACTAATAGTAGAACAAGCCATAGAATTAGATAACCAGACCAGGATTGGTCTTTGGCTTTGCTGTTCATATATACACTTTAGGGAGTGGGCTTGTGTATATGAGAGAGAGAGAGATAGATTCGAAATATGGTGTGAAGGAAAGAATATGTCTATGTTGCAGGGTTTGGAATATGTGCCTAGGTCAAATATTTTAGGGATTAGTTTTATATTTGTATAAGGAGGTCCACTAATAAAAAAAATACGATGAAAATATTGGGCCTATCAATTCAAGTGAGCTTCTCTTGTCAATATGTGATAATTAGGGGTCAATCCTCTTTAGGAAACTTATAATGAATTAAGTCCTTTACTTAAACATATTTGGGAATAAGTCCTATTATCTTTTTAGGAAGTAGTTAAGTCCAAAATTTTTTAATAAGTCCCAAATGCCGTTCTTGTGACGTTGAAAGCAGTTTTCAACATGTAAATTTGTTTCCTAATTGGGAAACAGTTACCCCTTGATTCATGCTGAATGAAGATCTTCATAATAAATACCTTCCAGTGATATATTTTCATAAAATTTGAATTTCAAATTTAGGATTAGATATTATCCATCTTCTTCTTCTACTAATGCTATGGGGGAGAGAGAGAAACCCCAACTTGAAAGTACAAAGAGAGAGAGAGAGTATGAATCAAGTTTGAGTTCTTCGACCAGGCAATTGACGGTGGACTTGGACCACCGACCGGAACAGTGTCAGTGACCTGAGGCCCATTGGGTCCGTGTGTAGTGCTTCCCCCACCTCTTTGTACACTCCAGCAAACAATGACTTGTCGAATCTTTCCATTATCACTGCTAGGTTCACCAGAATTAATGTCACCGTCTTTGGCTTCATTTTTATTCTCTGTAGGTGTTTGTTTGATCTCTATCTCTTGGACATTGTAAATTGAATATTCAATAATCATGCGGCAACCCACAGAGATGACATGGATTTACAAGAAAATCAAACTTCTCTTGTTCATATGCATATATGGGCATGAAGCTTGAGATATGGATTTTACAATGTTCCTGGTTTGGACACCATTTGTGTTCATATCTTTGTTTCATGTATTTTCAAAATTTTCAATTTGTGATTTGACGAGAAAAAATCCAATTAAAATGTATATTTGCTTTGGTAATTTCAATTGGTTCCTATGTTACTAAATTATGTTATTGTTTGGAGACCGAGTTATTAGTTATCATGTTACTAATTTCAATTAATTTTGATCTGTTTAAATCATGTTACTATTTTTGAATATGTGATGTTATTTAAAAAATGCTCGTAATATATGGATGATAGTATATAATGTTACTGATTTCTTAGTGTTACTTCATGATGTTATTTTTTTTGTTTTGGTTTTAAATGTTACTGTTTTTTGTTTTGAATGTTACATTTTTGGTTTTATTTTTTGAAATGTTAATATCCAATCTTACTATATTTTTTTTTAAATGTTAATATTGAATGTTGCTATTTTCCAAAATGTTAAGATTGAATGTTGCTATTTTTTGTTTTATTTTTCTCAAAAGTTAATATTCAATGTTTTTTTTTTTGTTTTGAATGTTACTATTTTTTTTGTTTGAATATTACAATTTTTTGTTTTGAATGTTACTATTTATCTCTTATAAAAGTTCCAAAATAAATTGTTATCCAAAATATCGTACCAGTTAAGTCTACCTCTATCATACCGTGTACCTAAGAAACTGTCGTACCATGTACTCATACCTATATTACGTACCAAAGCGACCCACGATTCAGGTAACATTGTTGTGACATCATTTCACGTATCGAATATGCTTAGAAATTCCTTGATGAAATCAAGGATAAAAAGCAAATATATATATGCCTATATAATAAGATAGTTCACCAGTTGAATTTTATTACCTACACATTTTTCTCTCAAAAATATCTCATCACTCATTTCTATAACATGCCCAATTATTTTAATATTTGATTAATTTATAGTTTAATATATTTTTTATTTCAAACATTATCCATACGCGATAGTATACATATGTTGAAAAAATTTTATCAGATTACGTATTTTGAAAAAAATTTGTCGATATTTTTAAGTAAATAATGGATAAACATAGATTTTAAATGATGTAATCAAATAAATGAAGGAATGAAAAATTATTATTTAATATAGTGGGATACATTTTTTTGGGCACTCGAATTTAATGTTTCATCGCGCCTTCAGGCACAGATTATTACTAGTGTGTGTATATATATATATGACAGAGAGAGAAAGAATTTTAATCTTAGTAAAATTTCTAAATTTTAGGAGTTTTTTAGTTTTTAAATTTGTTTTAATTAAATATAACTACTGAGGATATTTTGGACAATGGCGATTGAAATGGACTTATTCCCAATTAAGTCTTGAAAAGAAGACTGGCCCCCAAATTTTTCTATATATATCTATAACCTAAATGCTAATCGGTGGTGGCCTATGCCTAGGGCCAGCCCTGATTAAGGCTCTAGACCTCGGTTCGTGTCTTATTATGCTCCACTGAAAGTCTGATGGGCAGTTGCCTTTTTATTCATCGAGACAAAGCCAAGTGGCAGGTAATGTATTGGACACCACGTCATTATTGGAAGGAAACTGGCCCAGTCGCTCACCATTATCTAATTGCAACGTTTGTTTGATTTCATCTCCAATGGGCCGTCACTTTCTTCTATAAGAATCATAACCAATACAGTCATGTCTCTTTTTTGGAGAGCTCAACCAAAATCACCAATTATCAATTCTAGTACGACTTGTTGGGAAGATAGGGCAGTTCAATAACAAAGACTCCATGTACATGTTTGAAACTTACAGTGATACCACTTGAAAGCTTAAGCCTATAGATGTTAAGTCTATTTGTAATAGCTAAAGTTCCATTCATTCATTTCTCATGCTGATATGGGATTCGCACATGGGATATTTCCACACTAAGCACCTATGCAATTACTGATCCCGCTCCGAATATTTGTTGGCAGTGAAAGTGCTGGAACCATCCAAACTCTTATTCTGGGTCTTGAGACCTACTGTCTTATGAGAAATGCTCCTCTATATTATGACTTCTTGAGTATTTTTGTATACAAAAAGTCTCTAGTGGAGAACTGGGTCACTGAATTATATCAAATCAGTATCAGAATTTTGATTAAACAATCTTAATTTCCACAACTTCTTGTACTCGAATTTTGCTGTTATGTGACAAATTCCTATTAGGATATTGTTCAGTTCGTTCTGCTCCAAAAGGACCATAACCAGTATCTTTTTCAACTTGGTGACCGTTGGTACTAATTTTAGGTGCCACCATGTTTCAATCCTTCACATTCTCTCTATATTGTTTGTGGATTGTTAACATCAATTTATTTTTAGAAGTCTAATAAAATCCAATGATTGCAAATCTTCCCCACCTATGAATGAATAGAAGTTTTGTTATGCGGGTGTAAGATATGAATTCCGTTGTTTTCATGTAAAGCGTTTGTATTGCTATTATTCATTTTGTGTAATTTGATATTGGTAATATTTGAAGCCACCACAAACTTTATTTGCTAGCTATTCATTTTCTCAGTACTGTTTATCGCATTACGATTTGAATTCTTAACTAGATACTCTAAGGTAGAAAATAAATAGTCTTGATCATGTGATGCCCATTGTGGGTCACAGCTGTTAGAGCCCATTTGGTCGATCTCTTTTTCTTCCTTTTCCTAATTTCTTAATCCCTATCAGATTGCCCAGTTCCTGTCCTGTGTGTTTGACCTATCTCTGATGTCTAACTTATCCTCTTTCAGTTGGGGTGAGGGGTTTTTATCAAATCAGTTTAAGCTGCTTGGGTTGTGTGATCCATGCTAAATGTGTTTTTTAGATAGAAGTTTTCAAAGCTTTCTGTTTCTGATTTTCTCTAGATTGGCTTAGGAGTTTATTTTGTCACCTGAATCTCTTTGACTGATCAGTTGTGCACAGCCTAGCTTATTTTCCTTAAAACCATGTTCGTAAGCCTAGGCACTAACTAAAAATGTTAAACCACAGAAACTTCCTTTGTTTTCTGATAACATGCTTTCTATTCTTATTAAATCTTGATCCTATGATGTTATTAGTTATGGGGTTCTCTTTTATGGACTTTGGGATTACACAACTTGGAGAGTTTGAAATATTTTGACACAAAACCATTTTTTTTAGCACGCTTTAAACTTTAGCTTGAGAAAATTGGCCTGTTTTTAGTTTAAGTAAATTTGTGGGTCTCAAGATAAGTTCAGTATATATAGCAAGTATACAATGATTCAAATATTGTGTTAACTTCAACATTCATGGTGCGATTTTGATTGAATTTTTTGAGCTGTAGGGTATAATTATTGTTATTTCTTCATATCCTATGTGGTTCCTTAAATTTAAACTCCAGTGTCTAATTGTGAACTGATAGTTTTCCTCTTCAGGCGAAAAATTCAATGACGTGGTTGGCAGCCCATATTATGTTGCACCAGAAGTTCTGCGGAAGCGCTATGGTCCTGAAGCAGATGTCTGGAGTGCTGGAGTAATCGTTTATATTTTATTAAGTGGAGTACCTCCTTTCTGGGCTGGTAAGAAGTTTTGAATTCAACAATTGTCGAAACTTACCTCCTTTTGTCTGTCTTTGTCAATAGTCTTACTGGTTGAAACCATTTTCCCCCTTCTTTCTTGTGTTTTCTATTTACTTGTCATCATCACACAGAAACTGAGCAAGGAATATTCGAACAAGTCCTGCATGGTGATCTTGACTTCTCATCAGATCCTTGGCCAAGTATTTCAGAAAGTGCAAAAGATTTGGTGAGAAGAATGCTTGTTCGAGACCCCAAAAAGCGGCTAAATGCACATGAAGTTTTGTGTGAGTCATTATTCATTAATTATTTTTGACTGATTTGTGGATTTTGAAGTGGGAGGATCACTTGATTCAAACTGAAGTCCTCCATCTTGAAGACTAATTTTGATAACCTTGTTGCCAGGTCACCCTTGGGTTCAAGTTGATGGTGTGGCTCCTGACAAGCCTCTTGACTCTGCAGTTTTAAGTCGCATGAAACAATTTTCTGCCATGAACAAGCTGAAGAAAATGGCTCTAGTAGTAAGTGTTACCATGTGCAACACTTGTTCAAGAAAATTAGAATGCAGGTTCACACATATCGAAGCATTGAGAACTATTTGTTTACTCATATACCAAGAAACATATTTAGGGCAAAATTTGAGCTGAAACTTCCCTTTTTGGGATAGCTGATCAATAGAAAATGTTTTATTTCTTCCAGGTTATTGCGGAGAGCCTATCTGAGGAAGAAATTGCTGGCCTGAAAGAAATGTTTAAGATGATAGACACAGACAACAGTGGTCAAATTACTTTTGAAGAACTCAAAGCTGGATTGAAAAAAGTTGGTGCAAATCTTAAGGAGTCTGAGATTTATGATCTAATGCAAGCAGTAAGTACTAGATCCAATGTAGATGTCAGTTTCTTGAAGTACACAACCAAAAAGTTCCCTGAGATTTGGGGGTTGCATTATTAAGTTAATCCCCAAATAAAAGAGAAAGAACTTTTATTCCAAATTTTGAAATACGAGAAATTCAGAGAGGGATAGCTAAGTGACTTGCTTGTCTAAATTTCCATCCTGTATCACGGTCATTTTTGTTGTACCCAAAAAAAAAAAATAAATTAACTTGCAGAAAATCTAAGTTCCAATTAGTGCCTCTTTCAATCAAAAATACACTTTGCACGATCTCTATGAGGTTCTTATCTTCTCAAGCTTCTTAATCATTATACTCATATCATAATATAAACAAGAACTGCTTAAAAAAGGAATGTTTCAAAGACATTCATTCCATTACTTTAAAATCACTCTCATGCAAACTTGGAGCAGTGAGATTTTAGTCAAAATCTGTTTCTGGCCCTTCGGGGTGATTTAGTACAAAGATTATGAGTGGATGAGTTTTTTTTTCTTTGACATGATTTTGATAGAGCAAAGGGAATATAAGGAATCAAACCTCAATGTTTAGAGAAGAAATTCTCTTGTCTAAGTGATATCAATATATATCTTACCACTTTAGCTCTTTCTTAGTTAACAGTATTCAGAAGTTGTACCCAGACATGCGGAATTAAAAGTCAATGTTCATAATGTCGAGTTTTGAATTCTTGACATTGTTATTTGCTACTATAGCAGCCAGAAACATTTAAGTTGGAAGGATATATTTATTGGATTAGCGTACGATGAAATTCCAACAGATGCAAGGATGCTTTTTTTTTTTTTTTTGGGGGGGGGGTGTGTGTGTGTTGTTGTACGGAGTAAATTGAATTTATCTTCTACATAGTTTATGCCAATCTGTTTCATAAGGCACATGTTTCTTCCCATGCATCCTATAATCATTATTGAACTGCTTCATTATGAATAACTCCAGATAATATACTATACTACACTACTTATTTTTTGCTCGGTTTAGGTGTAGTATCCTTGTTCATGACTCATGCGCAATGTGATGATTATAATCTTTTGGACTCCATGGACTATTGTCATTTTCTGTAGGGTTATTGAAATATCTCCATCTTGATGACCAATATTCCCAACATATTGATTTCTTAATCTTGTGAGCACTCAGACAGTCTAAGAGAGTTCTGATATTACTAATTGTAGTTGGATAAATATAACATTTCTTAATGCATTGTTCTTTATGTGCTTTTGCTCACATCTTTTGAGATTATGAACCTAATTATCAACATTTTTGTTTGAGTTTAATATGCCAGCATAAAAAGTTGGTATATACTTAAGTTGTAAGTGATCCACTCCATTTTCTGAAATTGCAGGCAGATATTGATAACAGTGGAACAATTGATTATGCGGAGTTCATAGCTGCAACACTGCATCTGAACAAGGTTGAGAGAGAAGATCATCTATTTGCTGCTTTCTCCTACTTTGATAAGGATGGAAGTGGTTATATCACCGCGGACGAGCTTCAACAAGCCTGTGAAGAGTTTGGCATAAAGGACATCCGCCTAGACGAAATGATCCGAGAAGTTGACCAGGATAATGTAAGTCATTTCTTTTCATCATTTCACCATTTGTTTACCACACAAAGGATTAGTCATTAGGCATGGTGCAGAGGCCGTACTTTCTTTCCAGGCTTTGGACCACGAGCAAATTCAGGGGAGCTGGGGTCAAATCTCTAACCCTTCCCAAGTTGCCATAAGCTTTACCAAGTTACTCAACCTTGTCAAGAAATGGAAAATTTGGTGCAATTAGATTTGAGCGTAAATTGGTCAAGTTGCTAGACCATTTAGAAGCAAACTAACATCCATCTCAGTTGAAAAATCAAGTAGATATGATGTACTTTCCCTTCCAATAAATTTATACTAAAGATCTCCCAATTTGGATGGTTGGGATGAAGGTATTGAGGTAAGTTTTGAGTTCTATCATCATGAGTTCCCCCAATTCTCTGCGGCTTTTCTTGGATTATTAAGTTAGCTTAGTAAGTATATTTGGGAGACCTCATATTTATCAAGTAATGAAATTGAAGTTCACCATCTAATCATTAGATGTTGTTCTTGGTATTGCTTGAAATCAAATTCTTTTCTGTTGTCGGTGATTATGTTGTTGAGGTATACAAACCTCATGCTGATCTAACATGTTAAAGGATTGTGCAAGAGTTTCTGATTGTATTCCTAATCAAATTTTCAGGATGGAACCATTGATTACAATGAGTTTGTCGCCATGATGCAAAAGGGCAATCCAATTGCAGGTGGTAAGAAGAGTCTGGAGAATAGTTTCAGCATTGGTTTCAGAGAGGCACTAAAACTTTAGCACTGCAAGCTTTGGTGAGACTTTGTTATTTATCTGTTTCTTTTTTGTTTTTCTTTCTTTTTTGCTAGCAAAAAATTAATGATGTTAGGATTGTATAGTAATGGGCAACAAGTGCCCGAGCAGCAGGCTTGCCCTTTTGATTTACTTTTACATCCTTTCCAATTTCCAATTTTCACTTCTGTTTTCACTGCATACAGTTGTGTTGACTTGTATACTACACTACATGAAGGGAAATGACCAATTTCCGATCATTGTTTTTACTGTTGTAGGAGTTTCGGAATCATTTAAACTGAATTGCAGTTTGGTAATATTAGATTGATTTCTGTTAACGAGACGTCTCAGAGAGCAAGTGTGAATCTTAACACACTGGAGACTGGAGAGTGAGCGATAAGCGCTATATATTGAATGGATATAAGAGGTGAGTAAGTGTAAGAAAGCCTAGAATGATTCTTAGGAGGGTTGATACTTCATCTATTTTGTTAATGTATTTGGGTTATGGTGAGACTGCTGATCACACCAAGGTTTTTTTTTTTTTTTTTTTTTTTTGATCTTGATCACACAAGTTTAGATTTGTTAAATTTTGGGTAGAGGCTCTGAGGAGCTCTGATACTATGTTAGTTTAGGTTCGGCCTATTCATGCCTACATCCACGGACACAATTGCCGGCTTCCACTCTATTGATAAACAGATTTCATGGTGGATTTTGTGTCTTCGATACAAGGACAGAGCACCCATATTTATAGGGTGAGATAACAATACCAAAGTCTTCAGCCATATTAATGATGGCGGCTTCCGCTGCCGTTTGTCTTCAATATTGGCAGCTACAGATTTGACAAATCTGATCCCGTGATCTGCGAGATCTCATATCTTCAACAATATTTAATTTGAGCCCAGGAACTGCTCCAAGTCCCTGCACTGCAGTTGTACTTCTCATGAGCATTTTGTTGAAGAATATCGGTTTAGAAAGAAAATTTTAAATTTTTTTTTTATACATATTTAATGTTAATCAAATACATGTAAGAAAAAATATTTTTTTTTCTCTCACCTCAATTTATATTAATTTTACTTTATATTATTATTTTCTTTCCAACCAAACGGACCTTTGGATTTGAGGGTATTGGGATCTAGTTCCACCCGCCGAACACGCTTCACCTCCATCACCCTCCAACACAATCTTCCCCCCAACCCCAGGGGAAGTCGCCATCCTCACTGCCGAATCGCTCCACCTTGGTTCAGTGGTGGAGTTGTGGATTAAAGGAGGAGAATTTATACTTGTCTGGGCTAAAAACTAATGATTCTTTGTAAAGAGGTTTTTAGAAATGAGCAATGCTATTTGAATCTAATTTATTAACTTAATTTACTTTGACTTTAAATTGAGTGCGGAGTCTATCAAATATTGAAACTTGGCTAATGACCTTTTGGTAAATAGAAGCAATGAACAAGAGTGAAAAATCATCTCTTCAAACGAATAAATTAAGGTAATAAAAGATTGAAGCCTTACAAATTTCCAAACTTATGTTAAAAATGTTTTATCCGCGTGTCATAAAAAAAAAAGGTTAACAAAATTATAACATAAAATCTCTATCAATGGTTCGTTTGTTTAGCGGGAGAATGATAGAAAATGTAAGAAAGAGAAATTTTTTAAAATTTTCTTGTATTTGCTTTAGCATGAAAAGGAAAATGATAGAGAAAATAATTTTTCATCATATTTGAATTTTTTTCACAAATAACCAACTTTTTTTCTTGTAAAAAACACAAGAAAATACAAGAAAGTTGTGATTTATAACTAACTTCATATTTTATCCTTATTTTTCTTTAAATATTTTATTAGTTATTAATTCTAAAAAATTTTGGTATGAATTTGATTAATCATATAATTTAGCCCAAAGAGTTTGTATTAGTGATTGTCTTAAAATTAAGTTTCGAGCCATTTTTTAAAAAAAATTTAACTTTCAATTATAATTACATATTTTTTTCCTTTTAAAACCGATTTAATATAAATAAGGATAATTTAGACAATTATAAAAAAATTCTTATAACTTTTTTTTCTTTCAAACAATACAATGAAATTTTTTTAAAAATTTTCTGTAAATTTTTCATTCTAACCAAATACATGTATGAAAATATATTTTCTATCGGTTTTTTTTTTTTCATTTTATTTGCTATCATTTTCACTTTTCATCATTTTTTTCTCCCTAACCAAACAGACCCTACGATAAAATTAACCAAGAAAATCTCTATTAATCTTACGGCTATAGACCCACCACCACTATACGCCAATGTCCAACAATAAAAAAGAACGTAAAATTAATCAATGAACATGATACACAATATATTGCGCCTCGCTTAAAACTGTTGGACCAAAATAGGTTTTAGTTCCAAAAATTATTTTTTTGTTAATTTTGAGCCTAAATAAAAATAGGACTCAATCATCGCTTTTAGTAAATTTTAATGGGTTCATGTTCTCTCTGCAAGTAGAATGACATAGCCTATTTACTTGCTCAAATTAAATAAAAAGTAAATGAGAAAATGCATTTCAAAGTGACTCAGTTGAAATGTGAAAAGTAGAGGTTGAAACATGTGGGATTCAACATTAATCTCAAATTTGTTGAGTAAGAAATATTAAGTGAACATATCTACTATTAGTTTGATCTAAGGGTTAGGCATCAAGGGGCACCCCACTTTTGTGGACAGGAGAGGATCCAGATGGGCTCGAGTACCAGTGTGGGTGCGGGTCAACTTTATCCTTTTGGGTAAAAATCGTTTATTAAATGGATCCATAATATCTTGCTTATTTTTAATTTTCTATCTGTTTGAATTTAAATTTTTGCATCGATTCGAATTTGAATTTTTCACCAATCCAAATTTAAATTTCTTGATTTGTTTATAAATGGGCACTTCTAGTGCCTTCTGAGTTACATCTGATTAGTTCTTTTACTAATGATCTCAATATTTGCTAGTAGTTTGTGCGAGGGACTATCCTTTCTATCACTTGCTCTTACTTTTCACTCTCAAAACAAGGGTCTCTCTCTTCTAAACGAAGCAAAACGCATGGTGCTAAAGTGAAGAAAGCTCAATAAACACACACGAACACGATGTAGGAATATGCTCTGAATCAGTCTGCATTAACATACTAAATACAAAAATTCTTGATTAACAGATTCATTACATTCATCATTTTCGTCATTAAGAGCATTCATATCAGAGCGTACGAAAACACAATTTTGGGTGTGCCAAATATACAAATTGCAGCGTTTCATTTATATATATTCGATTAAGGTATATTGTAAGATCCTGTATTATTTTTGAATATATATATTGCATTAAGAATGTTCATAAAGTAATGAAAGTGGTCTTAGGAACCTCGAAGCGTAGTTTGTAGAATAATCACGAGGTTTAAGTTTCACGTGTAATGACTTTCGGGCCAAATTTAGAGTTAGAGGCGTATAAGCTTGAGAAGGATAGCTAAATAATTATTCTAAAAGTTTTTAGGCTAAAAGAATCTCGCAATTGAATCCGGAGTGCCAAGAAATGTTAAGATAGACATTTAGTTGGTATTGTGATTTAAAAGGATAAAATAGTAAATTGGGTTTGGGTTTTTAAAGAACTATTAAAAATAGATATTTTTAGATTAAAATAAAATTAAAATTGGATCTAAAACATTGAAAACCTTAGGGTAGTCATATATATCAAATTGAAAATGTTAAGGGGTAAAATCATAATTTTAGACAAAATACATTTTTTGAGCATGATGAACAATAATTTACACAAAATTTTGGGTATAAAACCCCATTTTTAGCCCATTTCTCTCATTTTTTGCACCTCTCTCACCTAGTACTACTCCATACACCATAGAACTATAGAGAAAGAAAAAAGAAGATCATTAGAGCTTAGGCTTTTGCTTGAAAATCTAGAAATATTACTTGAGATTCTTGGATTCACTTGGAGATTTTAACGTAGAGCTTAGATTTTTGAGTTTTGAGGTAGGGTTCTCCTTTCTCTTGCATACCATTATATGATACATCTTTCCAACAATCTGAAGACAATTTTTGTATATTACTTATTGTATTTCTAATTAGTTTGTTCACATACTGCAGATTGTAAATTTTTTTTTTATAATATTATTGTTATTGAGTGTTGTCTTGATTCTTTTTATTTGTTTCTTTTGTTATCTATGCAAAGGAATTTCATTTATGAGGTGTGCTTTACAAAAGTTACACTTATCTTCAACAGTTTATGGATATTGAAAATATACTAACATCATTTTATTTTGTTCTTACGTGCAGATTAATTACTAGTGGTGCAAGTTATTTCCAATAGACAAAATCACACTTGTGTCTCTTTTATTTCTTTCATTTCCGTATTTATGCCTTTTATTCAGTGGGAAAACACTTGTTTAATACATTTATTTTGCATTTGCTTGGATAATATTTTTATTTGAGAAAAATTAATTTTAAGTTCTTTGGTTTTGGGTTATTATAATAATTGTCATATATCGTTTGGATATGAATGACTAAATAATACATTATTGGCTTTGTTACACGGCTCTTATCAGGTTATTTTCAAGAGTCAATTATTATGCAAAAGAAAAATATAAATATATTTTTTGAAAGAGTTTGAGTGACAAAATGAGAATTTGTCTCTAATCTCAACTTCTAGTGACAAACTTTTTTCATCACGGACAGTCATACAATTAACGACTCTATAATTTGTGACAAGTTTAATTTGACACTAAAGACCCACAGTTGGTGATAAATTTAAAATTCGTCCCTGCAAGTAGACCTCTAAAGACGACGATATATTGTCACTATAATATAACTTATAGTGACAATATATTTTCATCACTACATTGGTACTTTTAGTAATGTCATTACTCTTTTAATGACAAATCTTTTAGGCCTTTTGTGACTTTTTTATTTATCACTACGTGTATTTTTTTAGTGATGAGAGAGTATTGTCACTACAAAGTATAGAATTAAAGACGGTTATTCTAGATTGTCACTATAGACAATTAGCGACAAGCTTCTACTGACCACTTAGTGACGATAGAAAAATCATCATTGAAACTCTTTAGTGACGAAATACACATTTATAGTGACAAAAAATTTTGTCACAAAAAATCTTAATTGTTGTAGTGTCTATACTTGCAATATTCAGTTTAGTGTATTACAAAAATTTGTTGTTGAAAAGTTTGCATATACTGTTTATTGGAACTCTTGTGTTCATAACTAGTCACTACAAAATATTTTTTAGTTACTACGATTTATGTTTGTTAGTAACTGGTTACATAATTGTTTTGTTATAAAAAAAATTGTTTTGCTTATTAGTTTTTATATTATGGTTATTATTTTTATGTTTTTGAAGCATTTTGTTTTGCAATTCTATTCAATAAATTAGAGTAATCACTTTGTTAGTACAAAACTTGTGGTGTTTATTACTGTCTCTACTCATGTGTCTCATAGAGAGACACTTGAAAAGTTTAATAACAACGATTTCAAGAGATAATAACAAAATATGTTGTTCTATCTCACTACGTTGAATGTTGTAAAAAAAAATTCAGGAGTGTGCTC